AACTGTTCCTCTCTCTCCTGAATGAGTTGTTCCCCTCCTCTACTTAATCATATTAACATAGAAATATGATGAGAAATCTCTCATCTTACTTAAACCAAGAAAATAGCAACAACAAAAATCTACCACTTAACACCCTTTAGCTACCACTGGATTTCTCTGTTCCTCTTTCAAGTAAAGTCTGTTCATTCTTCTTCTTCACTCTCTTCATGCTTCTCCTTCATTCTCTCAATTCCATTCTAATCAGTTTGTCTACACCACCCCATCAAACGTCTTGTGAAAGTCACCAGTGGTTATGCGTTTTAAATCCAATGGTTAATTTACAGTTTTAATCTTTCTCATCAGATACACATGACACAGTTTAATACATTTTCTTCTTTGTATTTTTAAAAATATATTTTATTGATTATGCTATTATAGTTGTCCCATTTCTACCCTTTACTTCCCTCATCCCTGCACACCCCCTTCTACCAGCACCCCCCTCCCCCACTTAGTTCATATCCATGGGTCGTACATATAAGTTCTTTGGCTTCTCCATTTCCTATACTGTTCTTAATCTCCCCCTATTTTGTACCTACCATTTGTGCTTCTTATTCCCTGTACCTTTTCCCCTATTCCCCCTACTACTCCCCGATAACCTTCCATGTGATCTCCACTTCCGTGATTCTGTTCCTGTTCTAGTTTGCTTACTTTGTTTTTGTTTTTAGGTTTGGATGTTGATAGTTGTGAGTTTCTTGTCATTTTACTGTTCATATTTTTTATCTTCTTTTTCCTAGAAAAGTCCCTTTAACATTTCATATAATAAGGTATTGGTAGTGATGAACTCCTTTAACTTGACCTTATCTGAGAAGCAGTTTATCCACCCTTCCTATTTATAGCTTTGCTGGATAGAGTAATTTTGGATGTAAGTTCTTGCATTTCATGACTTTCAATACTCTTTCCACCCCCTTCTTGCCTGCAAGGTTTATTTTGAGAAATCAGGTGACAGTCTATGGGAACCTCCTTTGTAGGTAACTGTCTCTTTTTCTCTTTCTGCTTTTAAGATTCTCTCCTTACCTTTGATCTTGGGTAATGTAATTATGATGTGCCTTGGGGTGTGCTTCCTTGGGTTCAACTTCTGTGGGACTCTCTCAGCTTCCCTGACTTCTAGAAAGTCTATTTTCTTTACCAGATTGGGGAAGTTCTCTTTCGTTACATTTTCAAATAAGTTTTCAATTTCTTGCTCTTCCTCTTCTCCTTCTAGCACCCCTATGATTCGGATGTTGGAACATTTAAGTTGCCCCAGAAGTTCCTAAGCCTCTCCTCATTTTTCTGAGTTCTTGTTTCTTCATTCTGTTCAGCTGAATGCTTATTTCTTCCTTCTGCTCCCAATCGTTGATTTGAATCCTGGTCCTTCCCTTCACTGTGGGTTCCCTGTACATTTTGCTTTATTTTACTTTACATACCCTTCATTTTTTCTTACTTTGTGACCATACTCAACCATTTCTGTGAGCATCCTGATTACCATTGTTTTGAACTATCCATCTGATAGGCTGACTATCTCTTCATCATTTAGTTGTATTTTTTCTTGGAGCTTTGACCTGTTCTTTCATTTGGGATATGGATATTTATTTATTTACTTACTTATTTTATCTTAGTGAATCTTTTATGTTGTACGGGGCAGAGCCTTAGTTATTCACCAGGGCAGGGTGAGCCATGTTGCTGCACTGTGGTGCTGTATGTTGGGGAGGGGTCTGAGAAGGAACAATGTCACTTGCTCAGGTCTCAGCCAGCTTTCAGCCACTTCCCCTGTTACCCACAAGCAAATTGGGCCCTTCTGGTGCTGATTCCTAGGTGGGGGTGGTTTGTGTACATTCTAGGACCCTGTGGGTCTCTCCAACAAACTCTCTTCAAAGCTGGGAGTTTCTCCTGTTGTCAAAACCCACACAGGTTTTGACAGTCAGAAGTTTTGAGGCTTTATTTCCCCACGCTGGAACCCTAGGTTGTGTGGTCTGTCTCACTCCCCAGTTGTTCCTTTTGGTTTTTCTGCTTGCAAATGTGGGACTGCCCAGTCTGTCAACAGCCACCTTGCCATGCCAGTCTCTGCCCCTCCTACCAGTCTGAATGAATGTTTCTTCTTTAACACCCTGGTTGTTGGATTTCCACACAATTTGATTTTCTGGCAGTTCTTGTTATTTTTTGTTTATAAATTTGTTGTTGTCCTTCTTTTGGTTGTGCAAGGAGGCAAAGTGTATCTACCCATGCTTCCATCTTGGCTGGAAGTTCAGAACTTTCAGTTTAATATTTTCTTCATACACATTTATTACTTGTCTTCTGTAATACAGTCCTTTGCTCTTTCCATATTTAAATTAGTGCTCCTCTCCATCTCCACTGTTCTTCCTCGTTTCTCTAACTTCTAAACATGGGCAATCTCCAGGCTCTCCTAGACCCCTCTTTATTAATACTCACTGTATTAGTGTTTTTCAATTTTTTTCATTGCAACCATAGTAAACATACACAAAACAATAAAAAATGTTTTATACTGTGGCCCAAAGCAAACATATGTACCTGTGTGTCTTTATATAATTGAACCTTTCTATTTATATTTAAAATCCTGGTCACAAAGCAATAAACTGATGTCTTAACTTAAAAATAAGTTACAACTCACAGTCTGAAAAATATTGTCCCATATACTAACTACCATATTTACATGTCTACTTTTATCTTGTTTGCTGGACTTGAGGTTTACATATCCAACCAGTTCCTCACATTTATATTTAGACATTTAACAAGTGATTTGCATTTAATAGGTCGAAATTGTAATTCTTAAGTCTCCCATTCCTCTCCAGAAACTATTGCTATGTAGTCTTTTCTATCCTCCATCCAACACCTAAGTAAATAGCAACTTGGTTTCTCCACTTAAGTCAAATAAGTTGGAGTAATATTTTACCATGAAGGGAATGCCCTTGCCCCTTTCCCTGTATTTCTCCCTCTGCTATCTGGTTACACTTGCTGAGGAGATACATCTGTGCCAGGATTTCACAGTATTTCACCGAATGGGTCCCCTGCAGTCCTGGGAGTGGCAGGACTGAAGCAAACCTGCACAACTGGCAGCTGGGCAGGTGGCCTTCATACTCTTGCCCAGTCTCCATGGCTACCTGTTAGAGACATTCTTGGAGTAATTCCTGACTTCCCTCTTTCTCTTACATCCCACTTTTTAAAAAGTTGCTCAACCTGTCACCTTCATGATCTATTCTCTAACTTCCTTCCAGATCTCACTTAACCTCACTTTAAAAGTGAGGCTGTCTGTGATAATTCTGTATAATATATATAATGTTTAATCCCCACAGAATTTTCCAGTCTTATTACTCAAGTTGGTTCTTCTATTCAGAGTACTTATCATCTGTGCATTGTCATCTGCACCAATTAGAATGCAAGGTCTATCGGAGCAAAGTTTTCTTCTCTTTTCTGAGCACTCAGAATACTGCCTGACAGTGGAATGTAAATGAATGTCAAATCACCAGTTGACTCTATTGTGATCTATACTGATAATCACTACACGTTTTAGGCTTCTTCTACTTACCCTGTGCTTTTAAAACAATGATTTTCAATCTTTTCTCATCACCACATAAAGAGATATAGGGTAGAGAGATATAGGGTAGCATATAATCCAGTCAGTACTGGTGACTAATACCAACAATCTGTATTATTCTAGAATCGAGGTGGGGCATCATGTTGTTTCTTGGACCATAATTCCTTGGTTGCCTTTGGAACAGTTTTCACTGACTTGTACTTTGGTGCTCTGCTATCAGCTTGGATGAATGAAGCTTTACAAAACATACTTATATCATCTCCATTATCACAGTAATATGACTACTTTAAAAATACATTTATGAGTTTTTGCTATCTACTAGGTGCTTTATATATATTAATTTATTGAATTTTTATAAGAATTACTATTGTACTTATTATTTTCCTCTTTAACATTGGGAGAACTGAGACTCAGAAGTTGAGTAACTCTCCTAACATCATAAATCTAGTAAACCAGAAGTACAAGAATTTAAAGCATGTATCCTTTACTAAACCTCATGCTCTGCATTGCTATCCTATGATGCCCTCTTATAACATTCCACTGAGAAATTTATGTAAGAGCTAAGTGCTACAGAAAACCTTCATTTCTCTGAATAACTAGATAATAAGAGCTACATAAAAGTGATGGTGCTTCAACTTTTTAGTTTGATATCCAGGAACTAAACATTCAATTCAGATACAGAGGTAAGTCCTTATGGCCTACATATTTCCTTGGGTCTTAACCTCTTCATCCAATTTATGTTTAACCTAATTCTTTACGTATTTCCTATATATCCTATCAATTAACCTCCTTAGAAATACATATACTCCACTGGGGCTGTTATACTGGAACAGTTGAAATAATGTAAAAAAATGGGCTGACAAACTCAGAATTCAGCTGCTGGATGTAAGGACTCAATCAGATATGTTCATTTTTAAAGAGAATACAAAGACAAAAGAAATGGGATCATAAAGGTACACTAGGTGATATACTTGGTATTCAAGAGCTTAAAAGAATGGCTCTGGGCATAGCAGCTAAGAGTATATATAAATATGACTACCACAGTAACTTCTCTGGGAGAAGATAGGCAAAGGTAATACAGAAAGGAGCAACCACCTTCTTTCTCATTTCCTACCATATTCCCCACCTTTAAGGAAGACCAAACTCCTTCATAAGGGAACTGCTCACAAGGTAACAAATTTACAAAAACTTGTTTTGGTATTCTAAAAAGTTTCTAATTATTGTACTATTCCACATCAAGAGAAGATGCTTCCCACAAAGACATTCGCTTAAAGGCAATTGTTGGTTGATACCAGTATCTGACAACTTAAAGATGTGTATGAAACTTGTAACAAAAAAAAAAAAAGTGCACTGCCATCAATAAAACTACATTTTTTGAAGATTCAAAGGGAATACAAACCACAATAATCTTCCAGACAAACCATGAACTTACTTTAGCTACTTCTTCTTCTAATTGTTCTTGGTACTGTTTTTCCAGCAACTTAACCATATTTGTTTCCTGTTCCACTCCAAATTCACCACCAGAAGACTAAATTAAAAAGCAAAATATGACACACTTATTTACACTAATTATGCACAACTTATTTTTAAACTTCTACTCTCAAGTATCTTTTAAAAAAAATCCTATTTCTTAGAAAACTACGAATTTTAATAAATTTTAGTTCTTAATTAAAAATAATTCTAGTGAATAATTCTACTACATAATTGTACTTACTACTGTGAATTTAACAAAGATGCAAAATGAGAAAATATTTACATATTTATAATTATTAACATATGTTCAAGGGTAAAATAAAGACACTTCTTAAATATAATGAATAAGATGTGTGTATTTGATTTTAAGTAACATTAACAATGGCTGGCTTTGCTACAAGCAAATTTCTATTCTCCTCAGCACTTATTAATAGTATCCAATTTTCTATAAATACAAATTATTTTTATAAACAGAAAAAGACATAATTGGTTTTTAAAAATGTAAACATGTTCTTAGCATGAAAGTATTTCTTTATTCACTAATTATCTGAATGTCAATCAAAGAGATACTCCACACCGGATGGGTATGGAAGAATAAAAAAATGTAGCCAGTATCTCTCCTTTATATCCAGAATCTTCATTTTTTTAAAACTTAAGAACTAAAAATCTACTAAGACCAGGGTTTGGCAGTTCTAAGTCTGAAAAAAGCCACCATAAATCGGGACTACACACAATATTGAGGAGAGGCAGAAGGTGGTTTACCTATATGGCTTATATGGTAAAAGATGAGGGCTTTTATATATCTCTTGGCCAGTGCTAAAGGAAGCCTCATCCATTGTTCCAGCTCTAGCATCTTGGGTTCAGGAGATCCCTAAAGACTATTCTAGAGATGATCTGGCCCAGCTTCCCATGGTGAGAAGAAAGGCTGCCAGCCAGGGCACTGAAACTAATTTGTTACATAGCCCATGTAATACAAAATAAGACAAGTTTTAAATGAGAAAATATTCAGGGAAAAAAACCCTCTATTCTTCTGGGTCTTTCATATTAGGCATTATCCTCATATTTATTATGCTTAGTTCTCAGCAACTATTTATTCGATAATTACTAACAGACATAAAAATGGTAGTTAAGAAAGAAATTAGTGCACATTACAGTTTAAAGATAAAATACCTCTATTGTACTATCGATGTTCTGTTTTACACAATTTCCATAGTGTATGGTTTTCCGTACATCAGATTCAGTAGTTACCCCTGAATCAGTGGAGAACCTAAATGTAAATAAAAGAAGGTGAAATAATTAGAGCTGTGTATAAGTTTTACTGTTAGTCTAGATTGATTTATTTATATTTAAGATTTTATTTATTTAATTTTTTAGAAAGAGGGGAAGGGAAAGAGAGGGGGAGAAACATCAGTGTGTGGTTGCCCCTCACATGTCCCCAACTGGGGACCTGACCCGCAACCCAGGTATGTGTCGACTGGGAATCTAACCAGAGACCCTTTGGTTCGCAGGTCTGTGCTCAATCCACTGAGCTATACCAGCCAGGGCCCAAATTTAAAGCATGCATGAAAGTGTGCTGGGCAGGGGGAACAAAAATGATATGTCAAGAGTTACAGATACTATATCTTCAGTTATATTTTTTAACTTTTTCCACTTAAAAGTAAAGTAACATAATTGAGTGATAGAGTATTTTAACATCACCATTGAATTTCATGTCATTTTATAAAGTCTACTACAAATGTACAACATGGACCTATTTATATATACAAGTATTTTTTAGAAGTTATAGATAATATTATTGACTAAAAACTTTATAAAATCTTATTTTTTATTAAAAAATTATTTATATGCACATACATACACATCAAAAAATAAAAAGGTCTGGAAGAACACACATGAAAGGTAGCAATGACCACCTCTCTTGGAACTGGGGAGCAATGGCAATGAAAGATTCTTAATTTATACACCATCACTTCTGAAATGTTTTTATTTTTAATCTTTATTATCTTTTGGTATTTTGTAAAAAAATATTGGAATGCTTAACTTGGGCCATAAAAATAAAGTAGGATTAATATTTAGGTACCATGGGGAAAAGATTAAAGGGGAAAACTGTGATTTTCTTTTCAGCTAACACAATTTCTCACTCCCATTTTCATGTGTGCCCACACTGCCTTCTCCCTTCCACCCTCAGCTAGTCCACCTCCTCCTTTCCTTCTTCCATTCTCTTCTTTCACTCTGCCCCCAAATGGCCAGACACGAGTTGTCATCGTCCCACTTCATAACTTATATAACTAACCTCCTACTGACAGACACTTGTTTCCAAAGGTTCACTACTACAAACAATGCTACAGTACAGATCCTCATGAATAAATTTTTTGCATCCATCTATGGATGTTTCTAGATGATAAAATCTTACAATTGTCAGACTTAATATTTGAATTTTTAATATAATGCCATGTTCTAAATGTTACTTTAATCTTTATTCCCATAACGGTATCATTTAAATATTTTCTCAAAACTTGGCAACAATGAAGTTCTAACAGTCTTACAACTTTGTTACACGCATGGCCTGCTATTGACCAAGTAAGCTCTTCGCCAAGTAAGCTGTGACTCGCCTATTCATGTTTTATGTTCCCATTAAACAAATGGAAAAAATCATTTCCCTTGACTTTCTTTTCGGCTGTTTCCTGCTTTCTCCTATCTTTCTCCTTTTTTGTCTCTGTTTCCCCATTGCTTCTTATATGCACTATTCTGATCCTGGCTTCATGTCTTAATTCTTATTGTTACAGCCTAGAAAACTTTCCTGATTGCTTACTGAGCCACTAAGATCCAAACTTCAAAAAAGTGCTGTTAAATCACAATGAGTTTGTTCTGTAGCTTTATAGCATTTCAAAGCATTTATTCCAAATTCAAAAATGTTTGGCTAAAACCGAATTCATTGTTCCCTTCTTACAATGAAGGTCATACTCCCCCACCTGCCCCGTTTCTCTACTTGACTCCAGCACCATTATTCTCCATATACCCTCTGCTTTGCTCCCAACACAACTCCATCCCAATGTCTCATATTCGTCCCTTCATTTCCTTTTCTCCAGGAGCCACTCCAACATTACAGAAATGTACAGGGATGGGCAGTGAAAAATACCAGCGATGGGTTAAAAATACCCGAGGGATGGATTCTAGCACTTTGATTGTATCTCCATGTTATAGTCCCCAATCATTACTTCTTAAAAATTTTGTAAATAATTGATTATATTGAAGTACCCTGCAGGAAAGGACCAATTTATATACATCTCAATTTTCTTCCATGGCATCCAGCCAAGGTTCTTCCCTCATAATCTTAAAGGTAGTTATTATGATCATTATAGAGATGCTTAAAATATCTACCCAAAATCATACAGGCAGTAAAAAGTCGAATTAGAGGTCAAATGCAGGTCTGTCTGACTTACACCTGTGGTCCTTCCAATCCCTCACTATGAGGAGGGGACTCCCCCCTCAAATCCTGTAATTTATTTATAAAAAATTGTGTATTTATTTTTACATGTTTAAACTTCAGTCACCTTCAAAGTACTCTCTACTTGATGCAATACACTTATCAAGACTTTTTTCCCCACTGCTCAAAATGGTTTTTGAATTTGTCAATTTTGATGCCTTTTCGTGTTTCTGCCATTTTTTGTTTTACCTCTCCCACATGAGCAAAAAGTTTCCTTTTGAGGACTTTTTTCATCCAGGGAAACAAAGAAGTCACCTGGGGCGAGATCAGGTGAATAGAAAGTGCATGGCATGGGATCATGTAGTTTTCGGTCAAAAACTGCTGAACGCTCAGCGCCGTATGGGCAGGTGCGCTCATAAATCACCCACCATAAGTCTTCAAAATAATTCACTGAAGCTGAATGCATCCTCTCACAACAAAACCATCTACCCTGACTGATACGGGTGGGTTCCTAGAACACTCGCCTAGTGGGGGAAGCCTGTACTACAAGGGACCTGCCCTCCAGAAGGTAATAATGTTTTTTTTCAGAGCGCCCTCATTTATCCCCAACAGGCTTCTTATACAACATAACTAAATATTTGTTAAATGAATGACTCAAATATTTTTCTTAAACTAGCTCAAGAGTATACCTTAGGTGAACAGAATACTCTTCATTCAAGTGTTACGGTTGTGTCCATATATGTGATAACATTTACAAGAAATAACTGGCTCATTATTATTAGTAAGAGGGAGCATGGCGGTCAGGAAACCTCTTTTTGGCAGAGGTGGGATGGTGAAACTATTATAGTTGAAAGCTACATTTCCACTGAGTATTACAGAAGCTCTGAGAGAGGGGGGTGAGCTGGAAAAAACTCAAATGCAGGAATAGCAATGTAAGCCTACATTTCCACACAACTCCCCTTCATTTATGGCTTGGAGAGGAAGCATCACTAATTAGAGGAATGCTACTTGAAATACTTTAACTGGTTATTAGAGAGTTTTTGCTATCTATTTTTCACATCAAAAACCTTAAAGCAGTGGTTTCCAAGTGACAATCTATGGACTGCCTGCATCAGAATTACCTTGTTACAACTACAAGTGTCCAGGTTTCATCTCAAAGGTACTGAGTCTGTAATTTTAAGTATTCAAAAATAATACTGAGTTTCAATAATATAAAATTCAAAATTTAAATTAAATTTCTGATGCATGGTTAAGTTTGGGGACAACTCATTCAAATAAAACAGAAGTTTTATAAGGCTGTGCCAGGGCTGGGTGAACAACTCCAAAGCCTACACAGATCCTAAATAAAAGGATAAACATACTGCTTTCAAGAAACTATGGATATTCAATGTTTCTGTCACCAAAAATTTGTCTTCAGGTCAGTGCCTATGGAGATATCAGTTCTAAAAGACCAGAGCCAACTAGATTTAGATGAAGTATCTGAGGACTTGACAGAGACAGTTAAATACTATAGCATACTTCCCAAATAAATTATTATAAACTGTTTATTCATTTAACAAATATTTACTGAATACCTTCTGTGCATAAGGAATTATACAAGGTTTGGAATATAATAGCGACTAAAAAAGACAAAAATCTCTACTCTTTTAACACTTAAAGTCCTTCACAGGAGACAGACAATAAGCAATACAAACTACCCTCCAAAAAATTATATATATACACACACACAATTTTTTCATTTTATATATATAAAAAAATAATATTAAGTAATATGGAAAAATGAAGCAGAAAATTAGGACACAGAGTTCTAAGCGGTGATATTAATTTAAACAGGGTGATCAGAGCAGGCCTCATGGGAACATGACATATGAGTAAATACCCAACAGAGAAGAGTGTGTGGGCATGCAAATAGGCGGAGAAAGATCATTCTAGGTCAAAGGAACCCCTGAGGGACACTTGATCCTGTCCAAATGTCTACTGAGACATTTGGTTTATATGAAAAGGTCCTTAAAGTTTGGTCCTATTGGAATCAACCATGAGCATCTTTGGTCCATGCCAAATGGTCCTTCATATTTGGTCCTGTCAAAAAACATCTGTGCTTAGAAAATGTACCCAAGTTCAAATAATTCATGTTTATTTATACTTTTGGTTTACAGAATTAATACATAAAAAATACTATCATGTTTGTCCCAGCCAGGTGGCTCAGCGGGTTGGAGCATCATCCCATACACCAAAAGGTGTGGGTTTGATTCTGGGTTGGCACATACATAGGTTGCAGGTTTGATTCCCAGCTGGGGTGTATGTAAGAGGCAACCGATCAATGTTTCTTTTTATATCTATCTATCTATCTATATCTCTGTCTCTATCTCTATCTCTACCTCTACCTCTATCTCTATCTCTACCTCTACCTCTATCTCTACCTCTATCTCTATCTCTATCTCTATCTCTGGTAAAGCATATCCTTGGGTGAGGATTAAAAACATACAATCATGTTTTATTGGTTCAATAATTGTGTTGTGACTGTACTGCCAATAATGACTCTTCTCACCTCAATAATCTAGCTGGTAAAGGCACATGGGGATAGGTAGATGTACTGGGGTTTGAATCTTTCAGAAGAGTGGGAATTAGGTATTGAGAACATTTTGGCATGGAGCAAATGTCTCCATGCACATTTGATAGGATCCAATGTCCACTAATTAAAGGAACAGCAATGAAAAGTCCCTAAAGCAGGAGCATACCGATGGTTTGAGGATTTCACGTAGACAGGCTAGTGAATAGTATATGACAGGCAAGTCAGTAGGAGATACAGTCAGAGAGGTAACAGGGATACATCAGGTAGGACCCAGTAAGGCAGTGTAAGAACACAAGAGCATTGAAACACCCAGATCTATCTTAAGTTTTAAAAGATGAGTTCTGAAGCTCTGTTGAGTTCAGACTCTGGGGAAGAGTTAGGGTAGAAGCAGGGAGATGAGTTGTTGTCATAATCCAGAGGGACATGATGATGGCAAAGACTGGGGGTGGGAGGGATGGTGAGAAGTAGACCATTTTGTATATATTTTAGAGGTAGAGATAACAGCATTTACTGATAGATGAAAATGATCTATGAGAGGAAGAGAAGTCACCACAGATGGAGATGGCCACAGAAAAAACACATTTTGAGGGGAAGATCCAGAGTTCTATTTTGGACATGGTTAATATGAGCATCAGACAGTCAAATGGAGAAAGTCCAGCCACGATTGGAATGACCACATCTTAGAGTCCTTGTGTATTCCCCACATAGAGTAGTAAAGACTAGGCATACCATAAACAACAAATACATGCACACTGCCTCACTCAATCCAGCAGATTGATAGCAACATGCATCTTTATAAAAAAAGGTGTAAGTAAAACTCCTATTCAAAATATTTAGTTTACATTAACATTTATTTTATACATTTTAAGATAAAGAATTAACCTCCTGTTCTTATTTCTTGATAATGCTACTTTCCATCTCTTTCAAATCACTTTAAATTACATTTTTTAATTAAAATGATCATACTGTGATTGTTATTAAGCTACAAATACAACTGAATGAAATTATAAGTAGATGGGTACCTTGGTTGAACTGTGGATTCACTAATGGCTTGAAGCCTTTTCTGCAAACAGTGGATCTCTGCCCCATAGTTTTCTTCAGTTTCTTCCAATTGTTGCTGCAAGGAGGTTATTAGGTTTTCTAATTCTTGGACTTGTCCTTCAAGTTGTTTAATTTTTTCAGTATCTTGCAGAGTAGATAACTTGCTTTTATGACAGACATCTAAATTATATGAACAGAAAAAAACACACATTTAACACAAATTTCTTAGTTAAATACCACAATCACTTTTTTGTGTGTGCAGAGAATATTTATCCCTCTTTGAAAAAATAATGCTTTTTAGTACTAACAACTTGGGTTTCAATTCAAACTCATTTTCACTGATAAAAACCAGTAAACATGAATAGTGTAATTCAAGATCACTTCTATCTTTATAACCATAGTACCCCTAAGTCTACCATTCTTATGTCTTTTAACTGAAAACAATTTAGAATCACGAAATGTAAGAAGCTGGGAAGGGATGAAAGAGATGACTCCAAACTTTTCATTTTGAGGATGGGAAAACTGAGACAAGAGAAGTTACAATGAAATGCCCAAGGCTGTCTCAAATTTTTAAATAACAAACACTGAATAGTTGGTATAAAAATACCACATTGTGGTGTATAATCAAAATTACCAATGTCTTGCAAATTAGTCATCTGAGACTGGGTTGATAAAAATTCTGCTTCCTCCTTTGGTAGGTTTTCCTCTGCACATTCAAATTTCTCATGATCTATCTGCTGCCCTTGAACCTATTGAAAGTAACAGAAGAAAAATGGTGATGTAAATATACGATCCAATATCTAGAAAACTGTATTAAGGCAACTTAACATTTAAAAATGTTTTTTTTTCAAAATCACCTAAAATTGTGATATAAATATTTTCCTAAGTTATTCCATGTACTCTTTTGATGCAGTGATTCACATCCTATTCCCTTCAAAGCTCTGAAATTATATTAGTTAAGTATAATGTTCTTTCATATCCAGGAGGAAATTCATATACTACAAAAGCAGGAACTGTACAGAATCTTAGTAAAAAACTCTTAACAATATTTATATGACTTGGTCTTATAAAATTCTGAATAAATTTTATATCATCAGATCATATAACTTTTATTCATCTCTGGATATTACCTATGTGCAATCTGGTAACTGACAAATGGTACACTGTTCTTTACACAAAGAGAAGAAACACAAAAACAGGTAAATCTCAGCTTATTTCCTTAACTGTTAAAACAGGGCAGCAATAAATCAGGTGTGTATGTATAGTCATTCATCAAATATTTAATAATCATCTACTATGGGGCCAATATTGTGAAAATAGAGAATAAGAATAAAAACTCAGTAAAGATATGATATATCTGCCCTCAAACACTTTACACTCTACTTGGGGAAATAAACTAATCAGAGAAGTGCTGAATTATAAAGTTTGACCATAAAAGCAATGGCAGAGAAGAAAGACAAATGTGGGTCTGAGTTATAAAGGAAGTCAGATTTGACTTGTGCCTCAATCATTCTGGGCCATGATTAGGAAAGGCAATAAGGAAGAACGAGGAAGAGCATTTGTGAAAGAATGCCCTGTTCTAGAAGTAGTGAAGACAATGGTCTTGCTTAGAGGGGTTTAATTAGGGTAAGCATGGGGAAAATATACTGGATAGATAAGATGGATCTAGATTACTGAACAACTGAAAAGCAAGAGGAAAGAGACTGCACGATAGAGCAGATGACATACAGAGGCTACTGGAGAAACAGGTGTGCAACAAGAGGATAAAAGCTATTTCCCATGAAGGTTATTTTAGTTGGTTACTGCCCTTATCAAGTCCTCCCGCTCCTACCCCCTAAGTACATTTCAACAGAGGACCTTGCCTCCTACTTCCCAGTGAAAATAAAGTCCACCAGTAAATTCTTCACCTTCCAGCCCAGCCTTTCTGTATCTTCATTTAATGTATTCAGCAAACACTCATTAAGCCTTTATCATGTAATAAACAAAGCACTGTGCTAGGAAGAAGAACTAAAAATAAAGACAAGACTCCTTGATTCTGAAGGGTTTTGAATCTATTGGAAGAGGCAGAAGAATAAACAAATAAATGTAGTAATATGAAAAATAATGTCATACAAATGCAAGTTTGTATAAGAAACTATGGGAACAGAGGAGAAAGACAGGTAGGTAATCAAGTATTTCAAATAATGGAAAAAGGTACATGCTGTAAGCCAAGGCTTGTACAGATGCTAGGAGAATGGAGGGAGAAATGCCTAAGTCTAAGGACTGGAGGGGGAAGGCAGCGTGAAGGAGAAAGAACAGCGTACAAAAAGCTCACACGTGTGAAAAATCAGGCTGCGTTCGGGACCCTAAGTAGTTCAGTGCAGCTAAAATGAGCAAGAGGCTTAGAATAAGAGGCTAACAAGTTAGGCGGTGGGATGTTGCAATGCTGACTGATCCCAACCAATCTCTGGGATGCCTCCCTCTGTAACTATAGCTAACTAAATGGGTAAAATGTGAAATTCACTTTTACACACTGTGCAGAAAAGAGATGGCCCTTGGCTGTCAACTTGGACCTCAGCTGGTAAACAGTAGCCTCCACTAAAATAAAACTTCCCCTAAATGGTGAGAATGTTTCATGCTTCAACTGAGCAAACACTGTGGTTTATGGTGAACACGTGCTTTCCTTTGGCTAGAAGTCTGGATTTCTGCTGGGCAGAGGATGCCTATATGACTGATACCTAATAACAATAATTTTTTAAAAACCCACAGAATCCCAGGCTTAGGTAAGCCTCCTTAATAGACAACACTTAGCACATACTGTCACAACCTACTGCTATAGAAATTAAGTGTGTCCTGTGATTCCACCAGGAGAGGATGTTAGAAGTTTGTCCCTGCTTTCCTCCAGATTTTAGCCCATGTGCCTTATCAAACCTCTTCAAGACTGATTTTGTCTTGCATTCTTTTGCTGTAATAAAACTCATCTTTGAGTACAACTGTATGTTGAATCCTATCCTTCTATGCAACCATCACTGAATCTGGAGGTGGTCTTTGGGACTCTCAACCCACCCATACTTTGTGCCTTATTATAGAGACATCTAATGTGCAAGTTACAGTGATAAAGAGAATGAAAAAAATGAGTCACCTTGGCCCTATCACTCCTCTTTCCTTCCACATAAACTATCAAATTCTTTCTTAAAATATCTTATGAATTGTCCCTTCTTTTCTCCCTCCAAATGCCACCAGATGAATCTTCCTAAAAGTACAACTTCCTGATGTCCAGCCCATAATCACCTATTTCCAACAGCTTTTAAATGTCTACAAGATAAAAGTCCAGCATAGTATTCAAAGTATGGTATAGCTAGCTATCCTCTCTAATTTTAGAGTCTGTTATTCTCTCAGCAATATGTCCTAAATATATCACACCTACACCTCCAAGACTTTGATCATGTATCTCTCCCATCGGGAATGCTATTCTCCCTCCCCTTCCTTATGCAAGTCTACACACCATTCACGGTCCAATTCAAAAATCACTCCCTTCAAAAAATCTTCCTTAATTATTATTTATTTAATAATAAATAATAAATCAAACATTTGCCTACCTGTTTGCTTACTTTTAAAAGTACTTTTCTTTTAAATATTTAATTAAATGTTGCCTTGGATAACTATTTCATATATGTACATCATATCCTTTCAATGAGTTTATAAAGTCAATCAATTTATAAATTCCTTAAGTTTAGTGGCTTTATTTAAATAGTATATTGCTTTATTTCCAATGCATAGAACAGCCTGACACATAATTTAACAAATAAAAATTACTAGTTACATAACTGAATGGGAACAAAGTATGTATCTTTCATTTCTTTTATACTCCCTTCAGAGTGTATTGCAATATGTTGAAGGATCAAGGGGGTAGGGGAGAAAACTGTCTAGAATAATCCCCAAGTTTCTGGTTAAATGCAATTTTTCAAAACTCAGAAGAGAAGAGAAACTGGCTTAATGGAAATAAATTAATAAACTTCAATTTCACCCTTATGTTCATTGAGGCATACCTAAAGAATATTCAGGGACAGAGATACCCATTTGGATACAGGAATCTGCATCTCAGGAGTAAGAAGGGATCTGGGATAGAGATCTGGATGCCAGGGGAGTGGATAAGAACACTGCACACCTGGTGACTGTAAACAGGGTGGGCAAAGCCCACAACAAAGGCTGAAATGCCACAGAACTGAAATCACAGCTTAGGGAAGAAAATATTTTAAGAAAGCAGCAAATATCCCTGGCTGGTATGGCTCAGTGGATTGAGCACTAGCCTGAGAACCAAAGGGCTGTGGGTTCGATTCCCAGCCAGGGCATGTGCCTGAGTTGCAGGCCAGGTCCCCAGTAGGGGGCACACAAGAGGCAACCACACACTGATCTTTCTCTCCCTCTCTTTCTCCCTCCCTTTTCCTCTAAAAACAAATAAATAAAATCTTTAAAAAAAAGAAAGAAAGCAGCAAATACTATAAAGTCAAACAATTACAGAATTAAAAGAAAAACTGGCTCAAGATATATTGAGCATGTGCCCTGGCCAGAGTGGCTCAGTTGGCTAAGTGTTGTCCTGCAAAGTCAAAGGTTGCCAATTCAATTCCCAATCATAGCACATGCCTGGGTTAGGGGCCTGGTCTAAGATTGGGGCACATGAAAGAGGCAACTAATCGTTTCTCTGACACATGGATGTTTCTCTCCCTCTCTTTCTCCCTACCTTCCCCTTTCTCTAAAATAAATAAATAAAATCTTTAAAAAATTAAAAAAGATATACCAAGCACATATTTAATACCTAAGATTGCAAAGTCAAGGTAAGATTGTAAATCTAGGCTATAGAAGTGTTCTTTTGGGGACCAGTTTTTCTTGTTTGTTTTCTTCTAATTGTTTCCTAATTAAAAATAATGTTTTACTTTTCATACTTTTCAACATCTTTAAAAGCTAAAGACCACATAAAACTGACAAATTTAAAGAATCAGGAACAATGGGCTCCCATTACTACGTGGCAACATCAGGGTGAAGCTGAGCGGCCTCTGCTCGCTTTAGATGACGTATGTTTTCCCCAGGTTTCACTTTTCCAGCTTTCACTTGGTCTTCATTTATTTTAAAAGCTAAGCCTTTGTAGGCATTTACGTCAGTGACCTCTGACATACACCTCCTCTTCCCCCCCTATAACTCAATTAAAATGATAGTGAAGAATCTTAAAATGTAAATCCATAGTCAATGAAATAAGAGATCAAGAGAGATTTCATGAAATTTCTGGAAAACTGAAGAGGGTGTAAGAGCTGACAAAGCAGGGTGGAGGAAGGAGCAGCCTAAAGCATGCACGAAGGGAGCCACAGTACAGGAGACAGCTGACTTGCCCAGCAGAACCCTAGAAAAAGTGTTGAAAAGAAATCTGACATGTATAACACGGTGTGAAACATGCTCGCTGTATTCTAAACAACTAAACTATTTACTATTTTTCTCTGAAACATACAGACCCACTGGTTTAGAGTCATATGTAAAATTAAATGTAACACTTTCACAAAGTTTACTGTGAGACATTTTACATATATTTTACTTTATCATTTCAAAAACTCTCTAAACAATTTTTGACTTGCAGATATTTATTCAACTCACTAATATTGTAATTATCTACTTCTTCATGTTCACTTATTTAAGAAATTTGTGGTCAATGAAGCTTATAAAATAGCAGGTAATACAATAAATGCAAACATTAAGATACATTTTCCATTTCACAGACCTTACTTAATGGTGTCTGAAGTACCAAAAGTTTGTTGTATTCTTCTGTTACTTTGTTGAGAAGAGTTTGCATATTTTCTTGAAAGTCTAGACAATAAACAATTAAAATAATTTCACTCCACAGAAAAAGTCTCCTTCTTTCAATAAGTATTATTCATCTACTCATTATTCATATGCCTGCTAAAGATAAACTTCATATATTTAGTAATGAAGACCCCTAAAATCTCATTAATGTAAAATAGCCAGAATGAAGATAACTTAACAGTTTCATATTAAAATATGTCTCTATTCATTATTTTTACATATTAATTTGCACACACATTTTGTTCAAGTGGGCAGGAGCAAAAAAACTTTTATCTGTCAAGAGACACCAAGAAATGAACTGAGGCTGCAATTCAGAAAAATAAACTAATACAGGATTTCTATTAAGAAAGACTATCTTATTCTTAAAAAAATACCACTGACATAAACTTATTCAATAAATACAATAACTTTTAAAGGTTTGGAGCTATAGTATAAAATGAAGGAAAGAATTATAATCAGGAAAAGATGGGAGCAGAGGAACGGGAGGTAAACAGAGAAGGAAACACGTGCACAACTCCAGTTCTCTTCATATCACAACTGCTGCATCATAAATAATGTGTATTCAATATGATTTCACAAACCTGAAATAAAGACAAGATATTAAGATGATAAACTTAAATAGGCTAAATGATTAAATCATGACCGAAGGAAAAAGTTTAGCCTCAATTGATTTAAGAAAATTAAGTACTGTGATTAATAAGGTGATAAGCTTTTATTACCTTGAACTTTGTATCTACATTCTTGCCATTCTAATTCTTGATTTTCAGAAGTATGAACACCAGAACTCACTCTCTCTTCTACATTTAATTTGCATTTTAAAGCAGGAGTATGTTCACCACGGACACTGCAAAAAGTCTGTTAACAACAAAACTGGTTATTTTATGGAATTAAAATTAAGATTTCTTCCACTAAAGGCCACTAAACATTATCTTCCTATATGCAAAAGACAGTCAAAATAACAGAAAAATCAGTAAGAAAACACTCTTCCATACATCAAATCAATCTGCAAAAGAAATATCAAGTCTAAATTTCTATATAGGAAATGAAATTCTTAGATTAGGAAAATATTGATAATCATCACTACATAAAACTATATATAACTTTTTCTGCTTTTTTCTAATAATGAATGTATCTTGTACTTTAATTTGCCACTTTCTAGCTTGGATCCTATTCTGATGTTATCACTGTAACGTAAACCACCCTTGTAAAAACACCTAAAGACAAGGATGAAAAGTTCAAAATGATGACTGGAAAGAAATCTATAAATTCTACAGAAATTATAATGCATCAAGCAGATTATATTCATACACTTTTCTATAACATGAGAGTAGTTTTCTGTGGTTTACACTCACACAAAAATTAAAAATATTTGACATATAATTGTTTTTTTCTCCTGAACAATAACTAATTCTATCATTTAAAACACATGCCCCATAATTATGTGATAAGCTTTTTAACACGCCCCCCTCACACAACTGAAAATAACAATCAACTTCTAGACTTAAAAGTAAAATTTACTGCTGCTATTTCTTGAAATATGCTTTAAATTAAACTATACTGTCAATAACTGAATATATTCGATTTTCAGCACAATTCCTATATTGAAATTTTGTATCAGAATTGATAGAAACCTGAATGATTACCCAATTTACAAATGAGGATTCAGAAAGACAAAATAATTAGTTCACGGCAACATCAATGACTGGTGACAGAAGTAGGTTTCATGACAAACTCAAGAGGGCTGATCCGTTACAAAAAGCTGATTCATATTTCAATTTGAGATTAAGGTTCAAGTAAAGACATTAATGGGAGAAATGAAAATAAAAAGAACTCGGCTTATGAACTCCTGTGACTTGGGTCCTCTTTCCATATTTACTACAATGTCTGAAGGGGAAGGCTAAAGAACAGCTGAATGAATAAAGGACTTCAGTGCGGTTATTTGCACCCCCTCCCCCTTGGCACATACTGTACTGTATTTTATAGGTAATCAGAATCAGTAATGTAGCTTTACCTGTCCCAACTAAACTACCCTTCTTCCCCTTCAATTTACAAGTGCACCAGCTGGGATAGAGATCAGGGACAAGCTGAAGCGTGTATTTTAAATTTTGAACTATTTCAAACATGCAGAAAAAAAGTTTATTACCTAGTTTTAATAAACAGATATTTTGTCAAAATATCAAAAGATATTCTTTTCAATTTCTTTTGTCAAAAGAAATTGAGCATTATACATCCCATTTCATCCACTCCTCTCTCTGCCCAGAGGTGATCACTCTAGCATGTTTTTATGCTTTTTTCCTTTGAGTTTTATTGACATTAGTACACATATCAAATACTACCAAGTGATGTTCTAGCAAATAGATTTGCCACAATTTGTTTATTCATTTGCCCATAGATGGAAATCTGAGTTGTTTCCCATTTTTGACTTAATATATTTTAACTTTACACAGACACTTTTGCAATGGCATAGCTGGTTGTACACATACACAAACCTATCTAGAAGTAAAAGAGTGGGTTGTGGGGTGTCCATGATGTCTTCAACCTTGCTGAGCTGCTTCTCAAGGTAGTCCACTCCCAACAGCAACGTAGAAGGGCTCCTACTTCACCCCATCTTCACAAATATGATTAATTACATACAGTATAATTAGAGCATTTTGTTTTTTTCACTCAACCACCAAAGTAGAAAGGGGCAGGATATACCTGCTGGAGACTCTATTGGTCCATGGGTTTCTTATTAGCTATACCTATTGTCTGTTCTACTGCTGAGATAATTTACCTGAATTTCTTTGGTTTCAAAGTTATTGCCAGAAAAAAAATCTTAAATTGATCATTTTAAACTGAAAAACTCAGGAGCATTTTCTATGTGTGGTACTGAAGTAAGAGAGCAGAGAAAAGTAAGTTGGATGATTCTGCTCATCAAATTAGTAGTGACTTAGAATTTAACATTTCTTGTGTTAAAGTACCTATTTAATATCCTACCTGTGTAAGGTAAGAACATTCTTCAGATACTGCCTTGTGAAGTTCTCCAATGAGCACTTGCAAAGGCTTCGTTTCATCGTCTAATAAAAGACATTGAAATGAGATATTCAATTTACATAAAGTACTATTATCATATTAAACCTGTGTCACCTGGAAGCTTCTCTGCAATTATTTTTATGAGACTGATAATGAGGGCAATTTTAAGATTAGTTTTAAACTCTTTGTTTCTTTCAAAGTCATTTCCTATGGCTCATTATTTACTGCTTCAGAAAATCTGTAAAATTTTCAATTTCTATCCCACAAAATGATATAATGCCATGATAATTTTTTTACTGCAACCCAATACAAGAAATAAACCATATATCATTATGAATTATATACATCCATGTAAAACTGAAACAAAATTCCACAAATCAATATTACTCTTTCTACATGCCATATATTCCAGTATGTTCTGTTCTACTCCACTTTTATTTTTTAAAAATGCTGGTCATCACTCAATAAACTGACTCATCACCCATTAATTAACTTGCAGTTTGAAAAACAAGAGGCAGATTCTACCTGAAGGGGATACCAACAATAATAATGCCTGCTTAAAAACTTACTAAATTCAAACCCAAAGAACTCCTGAAGTGAAAAAGTATATATTCTTAATTAAGTCACTCTTTACATTCTCCTCTGTTCAATAGAGCAACTCCATAGGACAACCTTATGAATCACCTCATTCCCACAGGCAAATCTGTTAAGAGTGATGGCCTAGAGATATCTTGAACAGAGGATGTCTACTTAAATTCACTTAAGGTCCCTTAAATATTATTTCCATAGTACCATCTAAGTATTTTGGCTAACTCAGTAGTCTCCCAGGCCATCTTCTTCTTGTCCTTGACCTCAAATGACTTGATTTCCAAATCTTTATCTTGAGCCTAAACCTCACTCTTGAATTTCACACTTCTATTTTTAACTGTCTACTGGACATCTTTTTCAAAGTCAATAGGCATTATTAACTCCGTATATTCCAAATGGAATTTATTATTTTTCCCACAAACTTGCATAACTGGGGTCACCCTGGACTGTTACCTGTTAGAAACTAAGGGGGAAAAAAAGAAAACCCCCTAAAACTTAGGAATCATTTTCAATTCTTCTCCCTTTTACTATTAATATTAACTGCAAACTACAGGCCACTTCTTAAACTCTTAAACTTTCCTTTCCATTCTCAAATGACACTTGGTTAAATGTCTGTTTATCAGAATTACTGCCAAACTTGCTTAACTGTTCTTCTCATCACCAATCTCATCACCCCTAATTCGCTCCAATGGTATCTATCATCTTAAAATAAAAAATCTTACTACGTTAACCCCACTACAGCATAAAACTTAAACATGCTTCAGTCAGGGTATATAAAGCTGTTTCTAATCAAGCTCCTGCCAATAAATTGGGCTTTATTCCCTACTACTTTTTCACACACCTTGAACTCAGTTCTCCAAAATGAATGTGGTCTCTCATACTTTTAAAATTCAGGAGCCTGCCCTGAAATTCATACTCCTGCCCACTGCCTTACTCTACTCACCCTCCTAGGAAGTACCAGACTTTTCTCCTCTCTCCTACCATTCTTTCTATTCAATTTTCTATTATAGAATTGTTCTACTGTTTTCTGTTTATTTTATATTGCTTTCCCACTGGATTGTGACTTCCTGTAGGAAAATATTTCAGTGATTTTAGCTTTTTAAAGACTTTATTTATTTTTTAGAGAGGGGAAGGAAGGGAGAAAGAGAGAGAGAGAGAAATATCCATGTGTGGTTGCCTCTCACATGGCCCCCACTGGGGACCTGATCTGAAACCCAGGCATGTGCCCTGACTGGGAATCGAACCAACAACCCTTTGGTTTGTAGTCCATGTTCAATCCACTGAGCTACACCAGCCAGGGCTGATTTTAGATTTCTTAAGCACTTAATGAATGTTCAATGATTCTAAGAACAAATGAATCAAAGGCTAGGACAGACAGTTACCTTCCTCTAAGGGTTCTAAGATAAGGATAGAATCCCAGGATGGTGGCCTCTAAGTGGTACTTATTTGCTTCATAGTACTTAATAATTTTGTTAAAAACCATTTACCTGTTCCTTGTGTTTTTATATTCTGTAGCTCTAACTGGTGTATTTTCTGAAGTTCCTTGATCTTTTCCTCTTGAGCAGATATAAGTTCCTCTTTAAGATTGCAAAGAGCTTTATCTTTTTCATTTTCCATGTATTCACAAACCTGATCCACATGAGTTGAATAAACCAGAGAGAGGCATATACGTTGAGCTTCCATCTGTAGCCTTAAATCATTCTTAAAAGTGAACATTAGAAACATTAGAAAATTTTATGATAAGTCAAATAATTTAACTTTTATTTTCTTATATACAGCAATGACAAGGGGAAATACATGAAATTATAGTTTAAAAATTCATGTAAGAAAACTGAAGTCTAATATTTGTCTCACTTTTCACTCTGCTGCACTGATCTACTTGCCTTTTTCAAGGAAAGAAGCACAATGCTTCTTTCATCTCATCAAAGTTGAGCTAGTAAGTTGAGCTAATAAGCTCAACTTTATGATAAATTTTGGTATTTGGAATAGCTAGTATGGCTTCATCTTTGATTTGTTTAAAAATAATATTTTAAATGTAAAGAAATACAAAGTATATGTAATAAGCATTTATGTATACACATCCAAAATTAACAAATACTAATCATTTGCCTTAAAAAAAAATCTCTCCTAATGGCACACTTTTTTGGTTTAGAATGAAAATGTAAATAAAGTTTAATCTACTATATTCCCATTTCTCCTTCCCCAGAGACAATCATTATGAGAAATTAGTTTCAAGTCCAGTCCATTTATTACAGTATTACCTCTCAATATATTAGTCAACAATGTACTATACTTGGAGTTTTAAAGAATTTACATAAATGGTCCAAAGTGGTATTATTTTACAAACTGTTCTTCTCATTCAATATGCTGCTCAGTTACCCATGTAGGCACAGGTTATTTCAATCATTATATAGTATATATGAATACAATATAATTTGTCCATTTCCCTTCTGGAGATCAACTGGATTTCCAGTTTTTTTATATTTCAAAAAATGCTGCAGTGAATTCTTATACACATCCCCTTGTACAAATACGCTAGTGCTTTTCCAATGTAGTGGTTCAAATTTTAGCATGCATCAGATTCATCTGGAGTGCTTATTACAATAGGCTGCTGGGTCCCTCCTCCAGAATTTCTGGTTCCGCAGATCTGGTGTGGAGCCTGGGAATTTGAATTTAAACCAGTTTCCAAGTGATACTGATGTTGCTGGACAGGGATCACACTGAGAACCACCTAACCTAGAAGTGTAATTTCTGGGTTGTAGCTAATGCACATACCTGTATGAAATCTTACCGATTTATGTAACTGTACCAATTTACACTGACATTTAACAGTGTATGGATAATTTCCCAAAAGCACTTACTGAACACTAACCTTTTCCTGCTGACCTGGCTTCTTGTCTCATTCACTCGTCTGCTCACATGTGACCTGAGGTCTGCACTGACCTAACCTACATAAAAAGGGCACACGCCACCTCACTCCTGGCAGATCCATCCTCACATCGTACTTTATTACCACTTGACATTACACATTCATCTGTTTTATTTAATGTCTAACTCTTCTAAAAATATAAGCTTTGTTCTTTATTGCCTATTTTTATTCACTCATTCAATTATATTAAATGTTAATTTGTGGGGCCTTCTCTTCCACATAACTAAAATTTCACAAGTATCTGGTTATATTTCTGGGTTTTCCACTAAACGCACCTAATCTACTCCATCCCAGCATCAAAACCATATTGTCTATTACAATTTTTTAATGTCTTGCTATTAGGTAAAATTAGTTTTTCCTAGGACTGTCTTGGCTGTTCTTGAATATTTATTCTTCTACATCAATTTTAAAATCAGTTTTTCAAGATTCATGAAAAATCTTATTGGAATTTTCATTAGAACTACAGTTGAATGTAAAGATTAATTTGAAATTACATTTCTATATTATATCTTTTCACTATCAATATGGTATATACTGTCATATAAACAGGTCTTAAGGTACAATGTTTTGTAATTTTCTTAAGTCAAAACACCTCGTGTAGGTTTGAAGTTTGTCTCTTCTGTTCAAATTCTTTATTTCTTATCCCTTGTCATATGGCGTTGAAGACAATGTTAAAACAGTACAGTTGACTGTGGGCATCCTAGTCCTACACTGGATTTTAATAGAAATGCTTCTAAATTTCACCACCACAAATGTTATCTGCTAAATACTTTGATAAAAATCATTATCATAGTCAAGAAATTTCTCTTTATTCCTGGTTTCCTAGTTTTAAAATTATAAATAAATTACTCTAATTTTAAAAGGACTCTTTCCCAGCATCTATTAAAATGCTGGTATGGGTTTTCTCTTCCTTGGAATAATTTGCTAATATTTTACTTATGATTTCCACAACCATACTCAAGTGAGATTATTCTATTTTGCTTTCTTGTACTGTTGTTGTCAAGTTTTGGTGTCAGTATTATACCAGCCTTGTAAAATATGCTGGGTACCTTTTTCTCCTCCCTCCCTTCTCTCTTTCATCCTATTTTAGTTAAGTGATCATATATTTGTTGTTTAAAGAGTTGGTATACCAACTTACAGAATGACTTCAGTGTACACAATTATAAAATTTTTGGTTGAAAGAGTGTATACTCCTGACTACTATTTCAAATGCTTAACTGGTTACTGGTTTACTCAGGTTTTGCATTTTTTTGAGTTAGATCTGATAATTTATTTTTTCAGAAAATCATCCAGTTTGTCTATACTTTCAAATTTATTGATAGGTTATTGACAGTACTCTTTTATGATTCTTAAAACCTCTATACCTGGGTTAAGATTCTTTTTTTTTATTCCTTATTTTTTGTCTGCTGTTTTTCCTTGATCTTCTCCTCAGAGGCCTGACTAAAAACTCGAACTTAACTAATCTTCTCAAAGAATAAGCTTTCAATATCTTTAAAAACTCTCTCCTCTCTTGGTTATTCCTACTTTGCGTATTTGTTCTTAACTTTATTATTTCCTTTCTTCTACTTTCCTTGAGTGTGTATACTTTGCTATTCTACTGAATAGCTTAATTTTTAATGTCTTGTTTGCAAACTTGCTATATTTAAAGCTAAAAATTATCCTTTGCATGACATGTTCCATGCATTCTGCTTTATTTTTCTTTATCAAAAATATTCTTGGCTCTTCTTGTGCATTTACCCTTCTAGACAAACTGTAAACCAATTAAATCAAATTTCAAAAAATGTTTTATTATAATTTTTATTAGAATTATATAAACCTTGTAGATTTTTCTAGAGCTACCTATCATTTTACTATATTAAATATTTCCCATTGAGAAATTAGTCTTCTCATTTGTCTCATGCCCTTCACTGAAGTATTATAGATTTATATTGATCTTGCATATTTTTACTAAGTTTTTCATATTTATCATACATTAAAGCTTTTCAGTTCATTTGCTGAAACTTTTTAGGTATTTAATTACATCTGTGGATTATGACAACTGTGTTTCTCTCCATTTATAGCACAAACCCTTTGTCTCTGCACTCATCAGGACCTAGGGAACACGGTATTAGCAAGTGACAAAAGCTATCCTGATCTTATTCCTGACTGGAACATAAAGGCACATGCTGTTTCACTGTTGGTTCTTGATAAACTCGCTTTGTTTTGTTTATTCTTCTTTTTCATTCATTTAAAAATTTCATTTTTTAAAAGATTTATTTTTAGAAAGAGGGAGGCGAGGGGTGAGAGAAATATCAACGTGAGAGAGAACTGGTTGCCTCTTGCATGTACCCCCAACCAGGATCCAACTTGCAACCCAAGCATGTCCCCTGACCAGAACTGAACCAGCAACCCTCCACTCTGCAGGCTGATGTCCAACCAACTGAGCCACACTGGTCAGGGCTTAAAAATTCTACTAACTGCCTGTCGTGCGTTGGACATTGTTCTCGTCCCCAGGGATATGGCAGACAGGGGCCTTGCTTTCAAGGAGCTGACATTCTAGTGGTTCTTCCTGTAGTTTCTAAGCTCCGATATGCTTTTTTCAATTCTAATTATTATCTTAAATTTTACACATATACACTTCAATTCATGTTGTTCCCAAGCATCATTAACCAATCATATCGATAACAGTTCTGTCACGGTTCCTCTTCCTTGCTTGCATCCCAACAGTGACAAGACTTCTATGATGTTTTTTTTCTCCTTCTGCTCAAAAACTTCCCAGTTATATTAACATAAGATGGAATTATACTTCAAAATTATGTTACCTTTAATTATTTAAAAAAATCTTAATACCTCATTTACTTTGGTTTCAGTGAGAGATATCTGTTCTATTTATCAAGGTTAGTCCAGAATAGAAGTATCATTTTGTGGCCTCAGCATTATTTCTAAGCATATTTAGATTGCTCTTAGGTGTCACCGTTGTATAAATTATTGCTCAATTTCTTCTGTGAGCTTCCCTCCACACACACCAACACTTCACTCTCCTCCCTGCTAATAAGGGGGTTTGTCTTGGTAGTGACAAATGGGCAGGGACAGTTTACGGGCTTGTGTCTCTTCACTTTCTGGAAGTTAATGTCTAGAAGAGGGTATTTAATGTCACTGAAGATGTCTTTAGTAGGAAAAATAAAATTCTTATTGAAAAAATATGACCATTTTGACATCTTCAAATTCAGGTCCTATTCCAATAATGCTTTTAAAAAATATTTAAGGGATTTCTGGTATTTTTACAAGTAATTAAATTAAAACCAGTTTAAAATTTTGAAAACAATTACAGATGTTTATCAAAACATTAATAGTTATGCTGTATGAATTTAACTCCATTTAAGTTATCAAAATGGATATAATTAGGGAAATTCACATTTGATATATCATAAACATGAATATATTAGAATAACAAAGGGACTACTTTCCAGTGACTTCCTACTGTATGTAGAATAAAATCTCAACATCTTACAAATTCTGTAATGCTCTGCAAGATCTGGCCTCTTCCTTCTTCAAACTCTTCTTTCTCCAGTCTCCCTCTCTAAATTTATTTGTATCTTCACAATTGCTCTAATTTCCTTGTGGTAGGCTCCTCCCTTCATTCAGATTTCAGTTCAAATGTCAATTCCTCCAACAGACCTCTCCTGACCATCCTATTTAATGCTGTTTCCACCACTACCCATCATTCTCTCTCACATAATCTGTTTTATTTTTTTCATAGGACTTAGCTCTATGTCTAACTACTTGTTTCCTTGTAAACTGCTTGCCTCCCTCACTAGAATATAGGCTCTCTGAGAGCAGGAACCTTCTTTGTTTGCCACTATACTCCTATACCTGGCAAGATATTCAATATTTGATACATAAATGAAGAAACACATAAAGCTAGAGTTAATAGACTTAATATCATTATATATACAAGATACCTAGTGGAATTTTCCTGTTGTTTTCTTTTTTATTTTATAGAGAGAGAGGATGGGAGAAAGAGAGGAAGAGAAACATTAATGTGCAAGAGAGACCAGGACTGCAAACCAGGCATGTGTCTTGATCAGGAATTGAACCAGTGAACACGTGACCTTTTGGTTCACAGTCTGGTGCTCAATCCACTGGGCCACACCAGTCAGGGCTTCCTGTTATTTCTAATATTAGTATCTAGCACATATAAAATGTTGGGAGTGACCTAGTATTCCTTATTACAGGCATTCTTTAACTGTATTTAGAATTAATACATTTTTCCCTTTCAGGTATACGAGGTGACCCAAAATAAAACTGGAATTATCTTTTGGAGGGCAGGCCCCTTGTAGTACAGGCTTCCCCTGCTAGATGAGTGTTTTAGGAACCCATCTGTATCAGTACAGGAGTTGATGTTATTGTGAAAGGCTGTGTTTGGCTTCAGTGAATTTTTTTTTTGAAGACTCTTTCAACACATTTTGCCCATTTCATGATGGGTGATTTATGAGCGCACCTGCCCACACAGTGCTGAGTGTTCAGTGGGTTTTCAGCAAAAATGGCATGACCTCAGTGCTCCACTCTTCCTATTGACCCAATTTCCTCCTGAGCAACTTTTCCTTTTGTTTCCCTGATGAAAAAAAGTCCTCAAAGGGAAACGTTTTGCCCATGTGGGAGAGGTGAAACAAAAAATGGCAGAAGCGCTAAGAGGCACCAAAATTGAGTGAGTTCAAAAACTGTTCTGAGCGGTGGAAAAAACATCTTGACAGGTGTACTGCATCAAATGGAGAGCATTTTGAAGGTGACTGAAGTTTAAATGTGTAAAAATAAATACACAATTATATATAAATAAATTCCTTCTTTTCTTGGGTCCCCCCTTGTAACAAAACTTGAAGAAAACTCGACTAAATTGAGATCCCCCTGCCCCAAGGGAAATACAGTTTCATAACTACTACACAATCATAGAGTACTTCAAAGTTTAAGAGTCAATTATCAGTTGTGGAACCTTGAAAACACCAGTATGAAATAAAATTCTGAAACCAATCTTTGGGACTGTAACAAAAAAGTAAAAAATAACTTTTCTAAAGCTTACATTCTCAACAAAGTTATTTAAACTCTTATCTTTCCAAAGAAAATGTGAAACCATTACTATTTATTTCTTGAGCAGAATGTACAACATAGATTAACTGAAGGAAAGCCAACAATGTTTAAGAAAAAACAGATAAAAGAAAAAAAAATAAATGATAGGCCCAAATGAAAATTATATTATAGTGCTCAGTTTCATTCTCCTGTAAGCGGGTTAATTTATGTTTTAGGAAGATAAAAACATGTCTAGTATGAAATATACACTAACAATGTGCTTTGGCATATATAAACAAGCAAACATACCTGCTCTGATTTGAGCACACTAAGTTCCTGCTGGAGTTTATCATTTTCACTGGGTTCAGTTATCGTAAGTGATAATTCATTTGTCACTGATGGCAAGTGATCCAAAAACAATTGTTCTTGCTTGCTTTCTTTTTTAATACTCATATTTTCAAAAGGTATTTTCTCATCCTCCATTATTTTCGATTCACCAAAATCTTTATTTATTGCTGAAACTGATCCTTCGGAATCGCTGCTTGTCACAGTCACAACTCCGTCTTTTAAAGAACTTAACTGAACATCACATCCCCTCATATTTTCTGTCCTATTTTGGTTAAGGATGATTTCCAGCTCTTTACATCTCAATAAAACTTGCTCTTTCTCTTGCTTTAAAGATTTAACTTCTTCACTTAGAAAATGAACTTCCCCATGTTTCTGTTTTAGTTGTTCAGAAAGATCAGACAGTCTTTCTGACAGTTCTAATTTTTCCCGCTTGGTTACCTCAAGTTTTTCCATAAGTTCTGTTGTATCTTTCTCAACAACCTCACCAATTTCCAATGGTTCTGCTATAAAAGTTTTGTCACCATCAAAGACAGAACTTTTCATTTTTGCTGTAGTTGGGTTTATTTTTTGCAAATGATGAAGCTCTTCACTAAGTGCTTTAAGCTTGCTTTCATACTCCACCTCTTGTTTATTTTTACTGTCTTCTAAATCGTTTTTTGCCTTGAGAAGGCAAGCATAATCCTCTTGTAACTCTTGATAGTTAACTTCAAAATTTCTTTCAGCAAATGAAAAAGTGTTCCTTTGCTTCTCAAGCTCTTCAGTTAGTTGAATACATTGTTTTTTGAGGTCCTCATTTTCCTCTGTAAGCATTTCTATTTCTTTTTGCCAGCTACCATCTTTGGATTTTGATTTAATGGAGTCCATGAAAAGTAATTTTTCTTCTTGGTTAGCAGGGGTACATATTTTCAACATGCCTTCAAGGGCTTTTTTTTCATCTTTAAGAATACTATTCTCTGCTTCAAGTTGTACAAATTTTTCTTGAAGGTTATCCTCTTTTTCCTTCATTTGTTTTTCCAATAATTCAGTTTTAAGTTGTAATTCTTGAACTTCTTGTTCAAGTGTACCCTTTTCCTTTTCTTCCTGTCTGAGTATTTCAATTTCTTTTTGAAGCTCATTGATTTGAAGTGTCATTTCTTCTGATCTTGAATTCACAAGGGACTGCTGTAAATCTTTTAGCTTTGAAATTTCCAAAATTAACTGATTCTGCCTTGTTATCAAATTGTCTTTCTCAAACTGCATGGTTTCTAGCTTTTGACTCATTTCATTCTGTAAGCCATCTATCTGCTGTTTATAGTGAATGCCTAAGTTATCTTTAAGTTTTTCAATATTTATTCGATGTTCAATTTCTAAATCTTCCTTTAGTTTGGAAAGTTCTTCTTCATGACTAAACAGAAGCTGTGTTCTCAGTCTCTCTAATTCAGCTTCTTGTGATTCGGCCATTCTGTCTAACACAGCATTCTTTTCTCTTTCTAACATTTCAAGTTTTATCTTATAATTTGTAACTTCTGCTTCATGTTTTAATTCTAGTTCCTTCCTGGACTCAGATGCAGATACTATCTCAGCTTTCAAATCCTCCACTGTACTAAGGGACTTATGTGCTTCATTGAGTTTACTTTCTTGCTCAGCTATCATCTGTCTAGCTCTCTGAATCTGGTCCCTTGAAAAGCTCAATTCTTCAAAAAGGTCTTCAAGCTGTCTTTGTAGAGCAGACTTTTCTCCTGAAATTATTTCAAGTTCTTCCTTGAGTTTTTCCTTTTGGGAGTTAGTATCTTGCAATTTTATATTCAGTTCATTTATTGCCATATTCATTAACTTTACTTGATCTTCATTAACTGTAATATTTGGATATGATCTTAAAGCATTATCCATTTCTCCCCTATGTTGTGTTTTAAGTTCATCCATCTGTAACATGTGCTGTTTTATTAGCTCTTGTTTCATCTGCACTATCTGCTGCCCATACATCTCATCCAGCTCTGCCCGGAGTTGTTCTAACTTTCTTTGTGTTTCTTGTTCCATTCTTTGCAGGACATCAGTTTCAAACTGGCTATCTTTATGGTTTTTCTTCTGAAGTTCTTCAACTGTCCCCATTAATTGTTTTATTTCCTCAGAACACTGTCTTTCTTTTTGCTTGGAATTAGTCAGCTCTAAATTTATGTTTTTTATCTCTTGGTTCTTTTGTACAATCTGTTCTTGTAATTCTTCCAGTAATTTGTCAGCAGCTGTGACTTTATCCTTTAGCTCAAGAGTTTTTTTTTCTTCTTCAATTATTTTTGCATTTAATTCTTTGATGATTGCCTCCTTTTCTTGTATTTCTTTATTTGAGCTTTCTACTCGTCTATTTTGTTCCTTTAAAAAAAAATAAAAAAGGTATTTTTAGTTCCTAGCAACTTATGTCACTTAACGCCATTACCTAACAAGTAGTATTTTTACATAATTGTATAAAAAGTGACTGCTGGGCCCGTCCCTCAACTTTCCCTAAGCCAATGAGACACAGGACTTGTTTACCCAGCACTACCTGTGAGCAAGCAGAGTAGTGCTGGCCTTCTTGGAAGGAAGCAATTTTCTTACAGTGCTATGATTAAAAGTTTTAACTTGAACAGTCACACATTAACTTAAAATGTGTCTAAATCACTATATTTTCAACTTTCTTACTGAACAATATTCTAAGCATTTAGTATCTTTTCTAGCTAGTTAGAGCATTTAGTATGTACTCTTCATAATTCTAGAAGTTTTAAAAATCAAGTTTCCTTCCATATATTCTAATGACCCAAAGGTGTTTGATGGGCAAATGTATTAACTTCATTTCTGGGCCTAAGGGAATTAGAAATTTAGGGATATGCAACACTTAAGTGGTTGAACCTCAAGTGACATGCAAGACAACCACACCATTTATGACATATCAACTTGGTCCTGGACTTTTGGTTTAAATAGAAATCTGAAAGCAGGACAGATACTTCTTCCTGGTTTGAGATTCTAGTTTGTAACTGTAGATAAGCCTAAACCCAGATCACATACCAAGCTATGATTTTCATTTATCAGAATCATTCAGAGGAATCTTCTACCAAGGAGTTGGGCAGAAGCTCTAGAGACAAGTTTTGCCTGTGTTACTTTGTTGCCTAAGTAATGTAGTTAATGGCTGCAGTCTCAAGAACAAAGAAAAAAGTAAAAGCCACAGAAAAAAGAATATTAAGTAAACTAAGTCACCTTAAGGAGACAAGAGTCCCAGGGCAAGGGACTTAAATGCACTTTGAATTAATACATTAACGTCTACAATTTCCATTGACAAGAATGTCAAAGTCCAGAAGAAGGAAAGCCTCAGAGGGAAATGTTGGCAGAGACCATTATGTACAGTCCAGGGAAGAGAACCAAGGTGCCAGGAGTCTGAGAACCCTGATCCATCTGGGAAAAGCATTCCAAATGTAGAAAGCAATGTAGGGGGTTGTAGCAAACAGAACTTAAGAATTCCAGTCTAGAGGCACGATCATTCCTACTGTGAGGTGAATATATCAGGTTACCACAGCCTAATGCCCTGAACATTTGATTCCTCTAACACCCCTTGATCACATGCTCACTAAACAGCTTTCTCTTATTATTATTTAGCTTTTCAAAAGTAAAATCCAATGAACTTGAAGTTACAGGTCTCTGGAAAGATTATTTCTCATTATAAATTAATAATCTTATATTTAAGATTTAAACATTAGCCTCTTGAAGTTAGAAAATCTGAGTTCACCTCTGACGGCTCAAGTCTCAGTTGATAGAAACTAAAAACCAAATCAGACTTCTGAGCCTAAAAGTAAAAGGCCAGATTCTCTATTATATAATTAACAAAGGCAATGAATGTTATCCTGTGCAGCAGCTTAAGCAAAATCCTACCATCTTTTATCTTGGTATCACCTATCCCATCCAATGTCATTGTAAGTTATTACCAAGGACTGAGCCTTCTTACTTTAATGTCTGCACTACCATATGACATTTAAATCAGTTTACTCTGAAATCCTAGTGTTTTCATCTACAAAATAAAGATATTAGTTCCTCTATCTCACAGGATACTCAAAACTAAACTATATATTATTAAATGAAATATATTTCCTCTATCTCACAGAATACTCAAAACTAAAATATATATATATTATTAAAATGAAATATAAACAAATGTAACATACTTACTTATATACTAGAAAAATCTGTAAGGCATTTGGAAATTATAAGACAATAAAATCAGTTCATGGAGGTCAACTTCGATTAAATTGTTAAATAAGTAATCTGTCTTAAAAATGTGAACTTTGTTACAAATCTGTAACATTTCTATTTCCTGATTTTCAATGGGGGAAAACCCCTCATAAAATAGTATTGTCTATTCAAAATTGTCTACTACCTGATATAACTGCAAACAACAATAATTCTTCATTCAACTATTAAATATAAATTCATGGTTCATTTTTGTTAGTACCATTTATTCCAAATGCATGGTTTTAAACCACTTATTCTGTATTGCCAAAAAAAAAAAAAAGCAGCTCTGTGGTTGAAGATATGATCCCTCTACTTCTGGACACAGACCTGAGAGAGCAGGGAATAATGTACTTCCTACCTGTGACTACTGCACCACGGGAAGTTCAAAGGATTAGGACAACGTGAGTAAGCCTGGAATCATCAGTGCAGTTGTCTAGGGGACCAAGACAGTTTCAACTGTCACCCTAATGCTTTAGTCCCTCAGCTACTCTGATGGAATTTCTAGGATTCAGTCCAAGAAAAAAAGAGAGAAAATAAAGTATTCTTGCTAACATTCAAATAAAGGTTATTCCTCCTACATAAATGAATTATTTGAATTTTAAATAATCTTACATTATTCTGATAAGTACAACATAATACAGTAAAACCCAAGTTTCAGGCTCTTCTAACCTGGGCTGCCTACTTCTGTCCTGGAAAGACTTACTTTCAAAGAATACTGTTTTGTAGTTAAACTATTTTTTGCTCCCACACATTTTCAACATATATTATTAGCCTGGGTCATTATGCACACTCCATTCTCTGTCTAAAATATCCTCCCCACCTCTATCAGCTCAGATCCATAATTTATTCATTTATTTACCACATAAAGACTGAGTAGCTGCTATGTGCCACACATTATGCCAACTGTTGAGGAAACAAAATACCAAAAAGAGATTGTTCCAACTTGTAGATCACTTCATACATCACCTCCTCCCTGAAACCTACACTGAATCACTTCCTACTCAGAATTTTCAGCACATTTTACCTACACTTATCTTTTTTGTGTGGTGTCTTGTGTACAAGATGAATTCTACACCATGAATTCCAGTGCAGAAAAGGACACACTTTAACATCACTATCTTTTGCAAGGGCCTGGTACAGAACAGGTGTTTTACAATTATCTACATGATTTTTAAATTACTTTGGTTGTAAAGCACATCCATTTCATAATTTCAGTATCTTATAACTGTATATTCTCTATTTTCCTAAGAGCATAGTCTCTGAAGTCAGACTATCTAGGTTTGGTATCTGGTTCTACCAACTTACTACCTGTGTCCTTGAGCAAACTGCTTCATCTTGCTTTGCCTTGGTGTCCTCATGGGTAAAACAGAGGTGGATATGGTACCTCTGCCTCAGAAGGCTGTTGCAATGATTCAATGAGTTAATATGCGCAAAATGCTCTGAATATTGCCTGGTACCATGTGCACAAAAATAGAGGCTAGCTAATAATTTTATTATTAACCAAACAATATTCCTGTCTTCGTAATTTCTCAACTTCTTGCAGAAGTACCTCCTAAAAGTTTATTTTAAAAAGTACTGTGTTATATGCACTCTCTCTCCTCATTATTGACAAATACTATATTTGTGAATCTGCCTATTGATAAAATTTATTTTTAAAACTAAAATCAATCCTCTCAGTCATTTTCAGAAGTACAGAGTGGTGGACTTCTGGCCAAGATGAAGGCACAGGTAGATACACTCTGCCTCTTCACACAACCAAAAGAAGGACAACAAATTTAAAAACAAAAAATGACTCACTACCAGAAAATCAAACTGTTTGGAAGTCCAACCACCAAGGAGTTAAAGAAGAAACATTCATGCAGACCTATAGAAGGGGTGGAGAGCACACGTGGCAAGGCAGCAGCTGGTGGACCGGGTGGTCCCACATTTGCCTGCGGATAAACCGGGAGGAATAACTGGAGAGTGAGACAGACCACACAACCCAGGGTTCCAGCGTGGGAAAATAAAGCCTCAAAACCTCTGGCTGTAAAAATTTGTGGGGCTTTCAGTGATAGGAGAAACTCCCAGCCTCAAAGAAGAGTTTGTTGGAGAGATCCACAGGGTCCTAGAATGCACACAAACCCACCCACCTTGGAATCAGCACCAAAAGGGCCCAATTTGCTTCTGGGTAACTGGGGAAGAGACTGAAAGTGGTGTGAGAGTCAAATAAGTGGCATTGCTCCCTCTCTGACCCCTCCCCCACATACAGCACCACGATGCAGTAAAGTGGCTTGCCCTGCCCTGGCGAATACCTAAGGCTCTGCCCGTTACAACATAACAGGTGTCCAAGGCAAAGAAATACGGCCCAAATGAAAGAACAGATCAAAACTCTAAAAACAGAACTAAGCCATGAAGAGAGAGCCAACCTATCAAATGCAGAGTTCCAGACACCAGTAATTAGGATGTTCACAGAAATGGTAGAGTATAGTCACAAAATAGGGGAAAAAAGTAAAGGCTATGCAAAATGAAATAAAGAAAAACATACAGGGAACCAACAGTGACAGGAAGGAAACTGGGGCTCAAATCAATGCTTTGGAGAAGGAAGAAATAAGCATTCAACCAGAAAAGAATGAAAAACAAGATTTCAGAAAAATGAGGAATGGCTTAGGGACTTCCGGGACAACTTTAAATGCTACAACATTCAAATCACAGCAGTGCCAGGAGGAGAAGAGGAAGAGCAAGAAATTGAAAACTTATTTGAAAACATGATGAAGGAGAACTTGCCCTATCTGGTGAAGGAAATAGACTTCCAATAAGTCCAGGAAGCACAGAGTCCCAAAGAAGTTGGACCCAAGGAAGCACGCCCCAAGGCACATCATAATTACATTACTGAAGATTAAAGATAAGGAGAGAATCCTAAAAGCAGCCAGAGAAAGGAGACAGTTACCTGCAAAGGAGTTCCCACAAGACTATTAGCTGATTTCTGGAAAGAAACCTTGCAGGGAAGAAGGGGTTGGATAGATGTGTTCAAAGTCATGAAAGGCAAGCACTTATCCAAGATGAGTCTATCCAACAAAGCTATCATTTAGAATGTAAGGGCAGATAAAGTGCTTCCCAGATAAGGTCAAGTTAAAGGGGTTCATCATCACCAAGGCCTTATATGAAATGTTAAAGGGGCTTATCTAAGAAAAAGATGATCAAAAATATGAACAGTAAAATGACAACAAACTCACAACTATCAACAAACTGAACCTAAAAAACAAAAGCAAACTAAGCAAACAACTAGAATAGAAATAGAATCACAGAAATGGAGACCACATGGGGGGTTATCAGTGGGGAGAGGGGCGGGAAAAATGGGTGAAAAGGTACAAGGAATAAGAAGCATAAATGGTGGGTACAAATAGACAAGGGGAGGTTAAGAACGGTATAGGAAATGGAGAAGCCAAAGAACTTAAATGTACAATCCATGGACATTAGCTAAGGGGTGAGAGATGCTGAAGGCAGGGTGGGTACAGAGCAGAGGGGAATAAAGGGGAAGAAAAAAGGGACAACTGTAATAGCAAATTCAATAAAATATTCTTTTAAAAAAGAAGAGGTGCATAGAGTGTAAAATATTTGAGTTGCTGGACATTCACATTTCCAGTTGACATCAAACAAGGCAACCACACTCTGCCTTCTTGTTTCTGCTCAAGAGGATGGACAGAGAGAATAAAGACAGCAGGGGGCAGTGCAGTGTAATGCAAGATATTCTGACTCTGGGCCAACTGGACAGAGTTTGAATCCCAACTGTGGCAACTGTTAGTGGGGCGAGCACAAGCAAGTCACTTAACACTTCTGAACCTAATTTTATCTTTAGAAAAATAAATAAAATATAATCTACAAAGATGAGTTGATTTTAGGATTTGATATGAGATATGTACAGGTATGTGTATGTCTGTCTCCCCAAGGGGCACTTATTTGCTAAATAAATGTTCCAGGCAATTATATAAAACATAACTAGTAGTGAATAAAGAGAAGTGATTATATTTTTTTCCTAATTAGAATCCATAAAATTTCATTTTGGCATAAAAATGTTTTCAAAATTTCATAATCATGGCTAAACTAAGTAGAAATACTTGTAGAACGAAAAAAAAAACAAACAGACATTCTAGTTGTAAATGTAGCTTCTCCTGAAAACTCAGTTTAACATAGGCTGATCACTTTCAAGGAACTCAGTGATGAGCCATATCTTAGAAACTATTATTGTAATTGCTTTCAAAATTAATTATTTTACAAACTTAAAAGAGCTTTTCTGTATTAATTACAACATGTTGTGATTCATGTACATAACAAAAAGATAAACACTTTCATATAAAACTCTGAAGTTAATTGTAAAGCTGCTGCCTCTTTAAAATAAACATACCATTTCATATGATTTAATTTTCTCCTGCAAAAAACTGATTTGGTTTTTGAAGTCTTCTTTCTTTTTCTGATAATCTTCTAATAGATGGTCCTGAGCTTCCAGCTGTTGCTGATGAGTGAGAATCTGTTGTTTGGCTTGTAGTAAATCTGCAGCTGTGCTACTATGAGTGCTGTTCCTCAGAGTTTCACTAGCCTGTAACTTAAAAACAGAAAGAAACCCAAAATTATTAATTCAGAAGTGACTGCTGTAAGGAATAGACAACTCTTGCAGGTATTGGCTCACAACTGCTCTCTGGAAACTGTGCTGAATTAACAGGCTCAAGGCCCCAGCATACATACTACCATGGCTGATCAGGTGAATACGGGCACATTATCCACATTGAACCAATAAGACTATTCTTCCCATAATAAGGCTGAGAAAATAGTCTGAGATAGATAAGACTGAGGCAGACAATCAGAAAGAAATTGAAATACAGTTCTTCCTGGATTCCTGATGACTTTCTTGTCCCAATAAATTTCAAAGGCCTAGCTGTATTTCTGCCTTGAATTCTGTAAAATAAGCCTGTATCCTTACATTAAATTCATCCCTTTTGCTTAAGGTATCTCAAATTCTTTATTTTACATTAATTGCCATCAGAAACGCTGACTAATACAATTAAATTACTAATCAAAGGTTAATGGAGTATATGCAGTCTAGATACCATTTTAGTCTCTAATTAAAATAAAATCACACCAGAGTTGGCAAAGGATGTTATTATGTTAATTTATGCAAAACTGCACCCAATGAGACTTATAAAGTTTTGCAGGATTTCAAAATACAGATAAAAAAGAAGTACAAAGAAATCAAAAGAAACCATTCAAGAAGTATGAATTAAATTCTCTGTTAATGTAACAACAGGTATTCACTATTTTTTCCAACATGATACATAATAAGCAAGTGGATTTTAAACAAACATAAATTTGTTTTGGAAAGCGTAAAAAATGTTAATTGCTTACTAAAATTCTAATAAATTTTGTTCTATTAGTAATACTTACATGCTGAAATTGAATCTGCAAATTTTGACTTTGTTCTGTCAACTCTAAAAATTCTCTCATTGTCTCATCCTTCTCTCTTCTTGCTTGTTGTAAATTCGCAGTAAGCTGGGTTATGATGCCATCTCTTTGTTTAATTGCAGCTTCAAATTCTTGTAACTAAAAGAAATAAGTGAAGTTAAATACTAGACTTAACTTTTAAAAACAAAGTTGATTATTACAGCTAACTGTTGTTCAAAAATATAATTTCAAAACTCAGTGGTGAAATTATTACAATTTGCAAGCAACCTTTTCCATATTTGAAGCTATTAACTTGCAGGAATTGGTTTTACTTCCAAATCAACTTTTAAAGAAGTTATCTGAATGTAGGAACAAAACATATTAGGTCTAAATTTATCCACGTGTCCACTTCCAGAAGGACAGTGCCATATCTTTAGGGATGCCTCAATCTGTTCCTAGGCAACACCACCACAGCCACATTCAATCCTCACTCTTTTCTGAGGAGATGAACCTGCAATGTATTCTGTCATCCTCATCAATGTCCTATTTCATCTCGTTTGTGTAACTGACTGCCAAAAACAACAGATGTCATTTTAACAACAAGAGGTTACTTACAAGGACTCACTGACATTTTTAATTGGTTTAAATCATCATATTTTGATGTGGTTCGCACAATAATTTTCTCTCAGGCTGATCACAAAAATATCTACTCTACTAAAGTGATTTCAGCCTACCTATCTCATAAAGGTAAACAAAAGACTCCACATTTTATTAGCCCTGTTAATACAATCTTGTTTTTAAGCAAGCGTGCTTAAGTATACACCCATATACAAATAAACAATAGTAGGGCATTGGAAAACGGACAATTTTGAGTTTATATTTAGTAAGATAAAATACTTCAGATAAAAAATTTCACATAGGAGAAAAATAAAAGGACCATTCAATAACCCCATCTTTAAAAACTGTACATATACTATCACTCAAACTTTCTATTTTTGTTTCTGTGAGTAACAAAAGCCACATAAGGTAAACATACTTGCTGCAGTCCTTCAGTCCCACAGGTGGCCCTTAATTCTTCCAGCTCTCTGTTTAGCTCTTCAATTTCATGCTGTTTCCCAACCAATTCATTTTCCAACATCTCTAGGTGGGTTTGACTGTAGTGTGCTCCATGTTCAGAATAAGAATCATCAACACCAAATTCTTCTTCCTAAATCAATCCAAGATTCTAAATAATTCAGGTACTAGCAACATTCCTCCGGAAAAGGAATTCATATATTCAAAGCAAAGTCCACTTTAAAACATCACTCTCACCTGGGAGTTTACTGGTATGGCAACTACTTTGTTGTCAGTATTATGTATATCTCAAAAGCAAAAACAAGATATCTGCAAATTGTTACAACTGAGTTTTATAACAAAAGGTGGATAATTCTGTTTTGTTAAACATTAAGAGCATTTCGGATTTGACCAGAGAAGGAAGTACATGCAGAAAAAAGCTTTGTTAGTAAGCCAGATGGTTTTAAATAGTATAAAACATTAGTATCATGAGTAGTTTTAAATACTGTACCCTTAATAAATTTGTAGGCTTTCCTGTTTTCACCACAAAACTGCAACCATTTACCTGTACAAAAACAATTTCCTGATATATTATGATTTAAAATAGAATTTTATTTAAAGCTAACAATTATATTTCTGCTAACTGTATTCATGCCTCTTTTATGCCTTGGGAAAGTGTCTCATTGGCAAAAACAGGTATAAGTGATTAAAGTATTTAAAAGACATTATGACCATTTCAAGTGCAAATCATTCCCATACATTTGAGAGCGTCTGCAATGCAAAAAACGCTGCATTATACATTTTCTTTTAAGTGCCTTAAAGTTCTAACTAAGTGAAGTTTTTATTTGTTTTCATAAGGGTAACTATAAACTTCAAGTTACTGGATCCTCTTCTATAAAACACTGCCTTAAAAATCACTTAAGTAATTTTTTTTAAGCCTTATCCATGTAAAGTCATACTGGTACAAATTCAGTGAAGGCTGATAAGCAGCTCTAGACACAGGAGATACAATGGCAAGGAGCACTCCCCTAAGAACTTCTCCCTGAGGGCAGTACTATACAGCCATGCCAACCCAGACAGACGTGGAGATTTTCCATAATATATCACTGCCTGTCTCTATCACAGACATTTTGTGGTAGAGTCTAAAATCCTTCCGAAAATAACTGTTAAGAGAATTCTCATCACTTACTTGTTTCATATACACTTAGTGTAAAGAAAAGCATACTTCTACTGAGAAGCAGGGGAAAAAAAAGCTCTGCTAATTGCCTTTATGTACCAAACAGCATACTAAATATTATCAAATATACTCTCGACTACTCTGTGAGGGAGATATTATTGCCTGTATTTTACAAGTAAGGAAATTCTGTTTCAGAGTTTCAGTGATATGACCAAGTTTAGCTTGGAGGCGATGAAGCTGAGATTTGAACACAGGGCTTTCTAGATCCAAAGCCCCTACTCTTTACATCATCTTGTTTCTCTACATACCAGAAAAATGACAGTGATATTTAGACAAAATACAATATGAGTATGTGGTCTATGATTAAAACTATGTAATTCTGAAACGCTGGACAATCAGATGTAAACCAAAGCAGCCAAGATTAGTAAACTGCAAATCTAGCATTTGTAGGAGTTAAATAATACAGAGGTAGGGGAAAAGTTGGTTTATAGTTCTGAGTACGCAAAAACAGATTTATTCTTGTATTATTTATTACCAAATGTATTATTATTATTATTATTATTAAAGTACTTTTGCCCACTCCATATATGTGTTGCCTAAAAAGTAACTTCATCTTGGGGGTGCGGGGTGTTACTGAAAAGTGATGCCTTAAGAGTTCCAATATGAAAAGTATTACAGCGTTTATATATTTGATCTACTGATGACTCTTCTGCCTCCTGAAAGGGTGAAAATGGCTGAGAAGCCCCCTGAAATTCTACCTCAGTAAAACCAGTCTAACACCATTAAATGGAATGATAAAGCCTCAGACAAAACTAGCTCAAGAGCATCACAGATTCAACCAGTATCCACTTTAGCAATCGTCAAGAGACATCATCAAACACTTCATGAACTATAAATTTTTATACTGCTTTGTACAGACATAGTGAATATGTAAGTTTCTCAAAACATAATCCATGTGAATCCAGACCCAACACAGAGTCTGGCACAAATAATGCCCCTTTTTTATTACAAAATCATAAGCACGTAATTCTGTAACATAATGGTATCACACTCAAGCACACTATATGACATTTTAGGTAAAATGTTCAAATTAAAACTATAAATTATTATATCCATATTATTACCCTACCAACCATATTCAAGCAGGCATTACTTCTGCCAGACTCTGTATATAGTACAAAAGTTATTATTCAAATAAGGTTAAATATGACAAAAATTATCGCACAATTATCTTTTTTCAAAGTAATCCTCTCACTGTTTTTAAAAACTGTAAGAGAAATAAGCCAGGCTGTGAAAGACAAATACCATATGATCTCACCTTTAACAGGAACCTAATCATCAAAACAAACAAACAAGCAAAATATAACCAAAAACACTGAAATTGAGAAACACGCTGACAATGACCAGAGGGTAGAGGGGAGGGAATTCCAGGGGAAAAGGGAAGGGTTTGCAGGAACAAGTATAAAGGACACATGGACAATAACAAGGGGGAGGTGGAAATGGGAGGTGGGGAGGGCTGGGATGGGGTAAAAGGCAGAAAACTGTACTTGAACAACAATTAAAATACAACAAAAAACTATAAGTCAGTTAATCAATTAAGTTATTGTGACCAGCATTAAAAAGAAAAAGTATCAAGGATATGTTACATAGTAAAGGAAAGTATCTTTTCCTGAAATTTTTGTTTGAAAAATTCACATATATGCATATGCATGCAAAAGTATGCATGCATATGCATATACTTATTCATATATTTTCACATATTTAACAATACATATGTAATTGTATATGTCAATATATAAAACTACATACATGTAAAATACATTTCTTACTGTTGAAACATAATTAACATATTCTAACTTTTATTGGCAGAATTTATATTTAAATATTATTTATAGATTTTCAAGATGGCTGCTGAGTAGGTGGAAGCTCTACTCAAGTCCTCCTATTGGCAAACCGGATTTACAGCTAAATTATAGAGCAATCAACCTGAATTACCAACTAAAAAGGACAGCTAAAGGGGAATATTATAACCAAGGATTTACATAAGCAGCCACATACAGACTGTTAAGAAGGGCGGAGATGTGAAGAGGGCTGGCCCAAGCACCCACATGCAGCATGCAGTGGCCGACAAGCTGGAGGGATATCTCAGCTGCAAAAGTCGCCGCCCAAGGAACATGAGGTCTAAACCCTGTGCTGGGACCCCCAACTTTGGGCACCAGGGCTGGGAAATGGAGCCTATATAGCATCTGGCAGTGAAAATCAGTGGGGACTCTGACTGCCAGGAAGAGGAGGGAGTCTGCTAGAATCTCAGATGCTCTCCTAAAAGGGCAATGCACAGGATCTTAGTTTCAGGCACTCACCTAGGCTTCCAGCAGAGGGAAAACAACTTGGCATATGGCAGTCATACAGAGAAGACCTGCAGAAAGGACTGTTGGCTGCAACCAACAGAGACCTTTGGTGAGTCCTTTCTCTGGAGAAACTACAGGTACATACTCAGACAGATGTTGAACTGTGAGGCTTTGGAGTGGGGGCAGTCTTTGCTTTCCTTTACCTGCAAACTCAGCCAGCACCACTCCCAGCGGGAGACAGTTTTGTTCTACCTTCCTGAGTCCCTGTGGCCCTTCCCTGCTGGGTCAGTTCCAGAGGAGTAAGGGAATAGAGCTGGGACCTTCAAAACACGTCTCCCTAAGAGGCTCCAATGCAGGGCTCAAGAGGGCACAGATACAGAGCTGAGGGGGAGCACAGAACTTGCTCCTCTCCCACAGGCTCAGCCAGCGCCATCCTAAGCCTGTCTTGATCTGTTTTCCCAAGTCCTAAAGACTCTGCCCTGCTGAGCTTGCTCCTGCAGTGCAAACAGCAGGTTTCATCCAACCTGAACTGGTGGTGCACTCCTCCTGGGAGAGCTGGAGTTGGATACTATAGCTCAGACTGAATGATATGGTTCTGGAGTAGCGGCTGCCTACTCCCCACTGAGTGCTCACCTATGCTTCACCCAAGAAGGGGATCCATTAGCCTCATCCCTGCCACCTGGCTGCCCTACCCTACAGAGCTTTCTCTGTGTGGAAGGGGCAGGGGAGCATGGCAAACTTGAGCCCATTCTACAGTCGTTCTTCAAAAGGCTCTAGAGGAAGTCCAGGCAACCTCAGGGGGTGGCTATGTAGTTGACAGGTAGCCACTGACCTCAGAGAACCTTGGACCTTTGCTGATCAGCACCCAACTCAGAGCTGCAGGAAACTGATTCCTCTACATAGCCTGGCCCCTCCCATTCACACCCAGAACCAGTCAACACAGCCACAATCATTGAATAGTGGGTAGTTCCAAACAGAGAGCCCAGAGCCGATTATAAACAACAACTGACACCAACCTATACCAGAACCCTGGCCAAGCGGGACCAGAACCAATACAACAAGTGGTGGACTTCAAATCTCACCAGAGCTGGACCCAACTAGCCACACAAATGGCACAAAGGGAAACTCCAGCAGGAACCAGACCTTGCTGGGTACAATGTCACCTCAAGGGGAAACCCCTGAATAGTGACTCATACATAGTGAATGAGGTCTATCCTTACAGTCAGCCAAGGTGTGGGTTAGCCCAACCCATGAACAGACCAACAGCATTCAAGACTCAACTACAACAGCAGGGGGCACATAACCCACACGAGAAACATTTCCGCAGCACCTAGCTCAGGTGATCTAGAAGTCGCCACCACTGAGACCAACAAAGCATCTATATGAGAAAGCCCTCATAACAAGCTTAGGAACCATATCAGATCTATCTAATATAAAGAGACAAACACAAGAAAGAAGACAAAGTGGGGAGACAAAGAAATATGCCCCAATTGAAAGAACAAGGGAGATCCCCAGAAAAACAATTAAATGAATTAGAAGCAACCAAGAGACCAGGTGAAGACTTTAAAACAATAGTTATAAGGATGTTCGAGGACCTGAGGGGAAGAATAGATGACCTCAGTGAGACCTTTAGGAAAGAGTAGGCATTACAAAGGATATAGAAACCATTAAAAAGAACCAGTCAGAAATAAGACTACAATATAAAGAATATACTACAAAAAATCAAAGCAGGTTAGATGAAGCAGAGGATCAAATCAGCTATACAGAGGATAACAGAACAGTAAGTAGAACAAAAAAATGAGGAAAGTTGAAGAGAACCTCTGCAACAACATCAAGTGCAACAACATCCGCATTATAGGAGCACCAGAAAAGGAAGAGAGTAAGCAAGGGGTCAGGAACCTGTTTGAAGAAATAATGGCTGAAAATTTCCCTAACTTAATAAAAAAGTCACACAAGTTCAGGAAGCAGAGAGTCCTATCAAGATGAACTCAAAGAGGCCCACACTAAGACACATCATAATTAAAATGGCAAAGGTTAAAG